TGCGTAGTAGATCATAGCTTGGTAGCGAGTGAAAGCTAGGACCAAGCGAATCAATAGGCCCAGACTGCCTGGAAGGTAAACGTTGAAAACCAATTGAAAAATGTAAGCTATGGAAGGGGCAGGTGAAAAGCTTGCTGTAAAAGACCATGAAATGTAAGGTGGTTAATCTCAAAACATCTAAAAATGCTGGGTAGCGCACAGCTGCGTAGTAGATCATAGCTTGGTAGCGAGTGAAAGCTAGGACCAAGCAAATCAATAGGCCAAGAATGCCTGGAAGGTAAACGTTGAAACCCAAATGAAAAATGTAAGCTATGGAAGGGGCAGGTGAAAAGCTTGCTGTAAAAGACCATGAAAGGTAAGGTAATCTAAAAACATCTAAAAACGTGGGTAGTGCACAGCTGCATAGTAGATCATAGCTTGGTAGCGAGTGAAAGCTAGGATCAAGCAAATCAATAGGCCAAGAATGCCTGGAAGGTAAACGTTGAAACCCAAATGAAAAATGTAAGCTATGGAAGGGGCAGGTGAAAAGCTTGCTGTAAAATACATTCCCCTGTCCATTCTGCAGGATTTTATAGATATGACATGGTGGTCCCAACCCACTGGGTAGCCTAAATTGAAGAACCTGAGGTAAATTGCAAAAACCTAAATTAACCTTACCTGAGCTCTTTCCCACAGCATGAGTGCAATAAAAAGTCCTTTTCTGTGTGCTCAGATTCTCTGTCTCAGTTTTTCTTAGTTTAGTGTCAGACTTAGTAGCCCCAGCGTCCCTTCTGCTACCCCTTGCCACACCTTACTATCCACCTGTGGCTAAAACATGTGGCTCCAGTTGTCAGCCAAGCGGTACCACCGGGGATGCGCAAACCTAAACAAAAAGGGATTTGACTGTAACCACCTGCCCCATTCTGTTTTCGTGGTGGGCTTGGGTATGCTTGTGCGAGTCGCTTGCTCCCCTACCCACCACCGGTCTGGGGTACTGGAAGACAGTCCAGGAACCGCTTACTGGTGGTTCAGTCAAATCCCAAAAGGAATTTAACAACATGTTTAAACATGTTTCATCTTGCACATTTTCTTTGTTGGCGATGCCGTATGGTGTAGCTTATCGCCTATAGCTTTAGCTATGAAGGTGCTCCCGGATGCCGGGAACGCCCGCGCGCGCGTGCCCCAAACGGGTTTGATACGAGGTCTCGGGGGACGCGCGTAGTAGATCATAGCTTGGTGGCGAGTGAAAGCTAGGACCAAGCAAATCAATAAATAGGCCAAGAAAGCCTGGAAGGTAAACCTTGAAACCCAATGAAAAATGTAAGCTATGGAAGGGGCAGGTGAAAAGCTTGCCGTAAAATACCATGAAATGTAAGGTAATCTCGGAACATCTAAAAACGCTGGGTAGTGCACAGCTGCGTAGTAGATCATAGCTTGGTGGCGAGTGAAAGCTAGGACCAAGCAAATCAATAGGCCAAGAAAGCCTGGAAGGTAAACGTTGAAACCCAAATGAAAAATGTAAGCTATGGAAGGGGCAGGTGAAAAGCTTGCTGTAAAACACCGTGAAATGTAAGGTAATCTAAAAACATCTAAAAACGCTGGGTAGTGCACAGCTGCGTAGTAGATCATAGCTTGGTAGCGAGTGAAAGCTAGGACCAAGCGAATCAATAGGCCAAGAATGCCTGGAAGGTAAACGTTGAAACCCAAATGAAAAA